TATACATAACATTAGTGGTTTTGAAATCAGATGGTTGATGTATTTTGTTTACAACATTCTTATAAGCTGAGTTAAGTTTATATGTGAGTTAGAAGATTCTTTTGTTGGGAGGCTTCATTTATCAGTGGTTCTGACATAACATAGGACTTTTAAACATCGGCGGTGTTCTTTTTTTTTTTTTTTTTTTTTTTTTTAATAATGGGCTTTATACAGATCAAAAGATCAAATTTTCCATGTCTATGACATTTAATGTGTGATTACTATTCAAACATTGTTAAATGATTTCTATCAACAAGAGAAAAAAAAATTTTTTTAGAACTTTCTTCAAATTCATGGCAAATGAATGATCCTTTGAACACAGTCCTACAAAACTGTGGATGTTAAAGAAGAAAAAATTAAGTGTCCAGCATATTCTTGAATTTAGAATCCTGAGGATGGATTGAACAGTAATTGCTATCTAGCTTTAGCATTATGTCATATACTTAAATATTTAAATTCTAACTTATTCTTGTATTATTTCAGGTTATTTTATTAGTTCGTAATGTATATTTTGTTGGTTTTCTTGAAAAGAAACGTGCGGTGATATAATTTATGTAAAATTCTAAAGTTTTGTAAGCTGTACACATGTGATTACATTTTAGAGTAAAATTAAGACATTCTTACAAATGTGCATAAAATGCATTTTTCTACTTTTCAAAATCATTCAGACTAAAACTAAAAAAAAAAAGGAAATACTTTCTCAATTCATTTATTCTTCTTTGTATTAAGTTAACCATATTGTGTTTTCTGGGTGGCTTTCAGGTCCAACATCAGTATCGTCTTATAGATCAGTCTGGCCCTGCTCACAAGAAGAATTTTACTGTTGTACTGAAACTTGATAATGAAGAATATACAGCTACAGGACCTAGCATCAAGAAAGCACAACATGCAGCTGCTGCTGTAGCTTTGGATAAAACAGCCCTAAAACATCCACCTCCAAAGTGTCAAATTAAAAATCAGGGACCCATGACTCCCACTGTGGAGTTGAATGCTCTTGCTATGAAAAGAGGTGAACCTGCAATATACCAGATAATTGAACCACCCCGTTCCCCTTTTATGCCAAACTTTAACTTCCGTGGAATGTACAATCAACGTTATCACTATCCAAAGGTTCCTCCAACCTGTTATGTAGCTTTGAAAGTTGGAAACAGTCAGTTCTTTGGAGAAGGAATAACAGTACAAGCAGCAAGACATGCAGCAGCTGAAGAGGCTTTAAGAGCATTAAAAGAAATACCTTTACCAGAAAATGTAACCAAGCATAACGAGGTAACAAAATCAGAAAATGAAACTCCAGAGCTTGATCAAAACATCGAAATAAAATCTCCCATTAGTTTGGTCCATGAAGTTGCCTTGAAAAGAGGCTTTTCAGTCAACTTTGAAGTAACTAGAGAAAGTGGCCCACCCCACATGCGTACCTTTGTCACCCGCTGCACTGTCGGGGAGCTGGTGACAGAAGGAGAGGGAAATGGGAAAAAAGTATCAAAGAAAAAAGCAGCAGAGAAAATGTTGGAAGAACTGCGGTTGTTACCTCCTCTACCTGTCATGCAGCAGAAAGTTAAAAAAAAGCCAGTCATTAAAAAGAAAGGACGGAACTTAATCAAGGTAGAGAAGCATTTTATACAGTTTCAGCCCAACCCAGTTAAAGTTTCTATTTAAAAAACAATTGTAATATATTTTCCTTTTCTGGTTTATTTCTAACATTAACAACGAGATAACTTGACTAAGTAGTTGACAAATTTATGTGACATGTGAATATTGAATTTAACTTTAAATTCTGTTGTTTTTTTTTGTGTGTGTGTGTGTGATTTGAAGTTGAAAATTTAAGATAAATAATGATTTAAGGCAGTGTTGCAGTTTGGAAGTAACAGTGGCATATGAATTAGGAATAATTTATTTCCAGAGTGACAGCATTTTAATGCTGATATTCTAAAACTTCATACAGAGTAATACGTTATTTCTGTTGCATTAGTTAGTGTTTTTGTGTTTGGTTGATTAAGGAACAAAAGGCAGACCCACAGTATGGTCAAGGAATTAATCCCATCAGTCGACTTATTCAGATTCAACAAGCTAAAAAGGAGAGAGAACCCATTTATGCTGTCATAGCTGAACGTGGTGAGCCCCGTCAGAGAGAATTTCTTATGCAGGTTTGTACTTTAATTGTGTAAAATTTGGCTTAGCTACAGTGGCAACTGTTTAAAAGGGAACATTGACCCAATGGTGTGTGACCTTAGCAATAACAACATGATAATTCTGCAAGGTCATACCATGCAATGAGTTGGTATAATGTGATGTCCTTACCATGTAAATCCAACAACAAAGCGTGTTAGTATTAACTATGTAATTAGCTCATAATGCAAGAAGAATAAAGATTTTTTTAGATAGGTTATTTTAACATTGTTAACTTTCCTTCCTTTGCTTTGATGGGGTAAGTAGTGAGAAAATAACTTAAATTTAATTGCTGTTAGAACATGTGATAATTGTACATCACCTGCATCTTACTCCTTTCAGATATGTGATTTATAATATTTGTTTTTGTATATGGTAAATAATAAAAAATGTCAATGTTTTATTACTTATGACTGCTTTACAAGATATTTATTTTCTGTGAACTTGTTTATGAGCTCAGGATTAGTGACAGCTGTTTTACATTTCTAAGCAATTTTGATGATACAATGAATCATTAATGCTTGGCCTTTTTTTATTTTGGAAGAACTTCATAGATAATTACAGATTATCAAAAATCTTGTGCTGAGAATTTATACGAATAAGTAGCTATTTTCATGTAACTGGGACTGAACTCTCATTTATCAAACACTTAATGTAGTTTTGATTTTATTTTTTTGATGCCTTTTAACCTTTTCGCATACAATATTTTAATACATAATCTCAGTGATATTTTCACAGCAAGTATATAAACTGTTGTTCATTTTGGTTTTGTGTTTTAGATAATGAATGGACATATTTATGTGATTTGTGCTTATTAAGTATTCATAGATTTAAAAGCAAGATTGATCTGTTGTAAATAAGTTTTAGTACGGTTTTAATAGTAGTGAGATCATTTATAAACATACTCTATCTTAATGAAAATTGAATAGTTTTGATAATGAAACATAAAACAATTTCAAAATAGATTGTATACTTGAAAGTATGTATAATAGGTTATAGTCGTTTTGCTGCATATTAATCAGACTTTTTTAATATAAGAGACGTGCGATTTACATAAACTGTTGTCCTCTAGTGGCTCAGTAGTAAGTGTCTAGAGTTACAATGCTAAAAATTGGGTTTTGATACTCGTGGTTGGCACAGCACAAATAGCCCATTGTGTAGCTTAACAACAAACATAAGATGTTTGATGCTACTAAATATGCATGTGTGATTAGATTTACTTAAAATTGAAATAATTCATGATATGGATCCTAAGAAATGCAACTGCTAATTAACCATTAATTAGTGACAGTATACATATAGCAGAGTCCAATTAGTAACTGTTTATCAGTTTCATTATTCAAGGTACCAACCTTGCAAAAATTAGCATAATAATAATGATAGCTAACTTTTAATATATTTCAATATGAACTTATTATGATCACAACAATGTGGACTTTTTAACCTGACATAATTTCAAGTTAGTTCACATCAAAGTTACATTTTGTGGATAGGTTCATTTTGATACTTGCTCATGAATCGGTAAACATAGTTATTTTCACTGGACATTTGTCAGTGAAAAAACATAAAAACTTTTAGGGTCAAGGTCTTTTTTTTTTTCCAGGGTTGGTCAAGTTACAATTTTTATTTTACTTAGATCTTACGAAGACTTTGTTGCAATTGCAGGCTATTTGTACATAATTAATTCCAGAATGTAGAAGAATATTTTATATTTTTGTTACCTCAACAAATTGATTGATATTTGCAAATTTTAATGCTACATTAATTTATAGATTTTGCTAATGTTTATTGAAAATTGATGAATACATTTACTTGTGTAATTTGTCGCTAGTATGGCTAAGTGGGTAAAGAATACTGCTTCGTGAGTATTTGCCGTGATGAGAGACTTGTGGTCTCCATGTATGTCGGTGCCTGCCACAACTTCCACCAGAACATAAATACATGAAAAATGAGGAGTGTGATGTTACAAACAACAAATACACAATGTAAAAAAAAAGTAAATTTATAGGTTATTTAGCATTAAAGAAAAAAGTTAAGCAAATTATAAATTATAATGTAAAAAAACAGTAAATGTACACTTTATTTAACTCTGAAGTAGGCTAAGAGTTGGTTTTGGGTGCTGTCAGCAAATTGCCTTCTATCTAATGGGCTGTTATAAATAAAATTAGGTTCAGTGTCAGATAGCCCTAATAGCTTTTCCTTAAACTCGAGAACAATAAAGCAACTTTAACAACCTGTGGCCAAAAGGGAACATTTTTGGTGGCAACTCCCCTAATTACTAGGCCATGCTGACCCAAAGGTCAATGAACTGAAGATAATAAAAAAGTAAACAAAAGAGAAATCATAATATAAATATTTCAATTAATTAGATGTTTGGAATAATAAAAAACAGTAAAACTAATAATTGGAAACAGATTTCAATCAGTTGATTTAATAGTAATTTTGATGAATTGATTATTTTATATGGCACTATGGATGTAATTAATACTCGGAGGTAATTAATCAAGTTAAATGCCTTACTATAATAGGTGAAACAGTTAAGTCTTGATGAAACCAAAGTAATGGAAAGTAACATAATAAAAGAGAAACTGGAATAATATGTGATTGTTTTTAGGCTGTTAAAAAATAAAAGTTCATTTTCTTTTAGATATGTAGAAGAAAACAAACTACAATACATTAAGTTCGTTAAAATTTAGAACACAGATGGTTGAATATTCTCCTTTAAAATATTATAGAACAGGGTTTTAACAGTTTTGGTTTTCTTTGCAGTGTGTAGTTGGTAACTATACTACAAAAGGAAGTGGTCCTAACAAAAAGACAGCCAAGAGAAATGCAGCTGATGCCATGTTACAGTTGATGGGGTATTCTCGCCCACTGCCGGGGAAACCAGCAATCAAACCTTCAACGGCAAGGATTGAGGTAAGAGATTAAATTGTGTTGGAGTGTTTCTGATTAATACAATGTCTGACTCTGGGTGACTAGGATTGGCCAGTGTTTCTATAATTGCTTGTCTCTCATATTACCAGAAGTCATGGCCAACTGGGAATAAAGTGTTATTGTGAAGTGTTATTAAATTTTAGCCTAGGATACCTGGCAACAAAAATCATCTGAACTGGTGTATTATGAGAATTATTTTACGAGGTAAATAATTTCTAGTTTAATAAATCCTGAAAGCTGTTGTGATTACGTTACTCAATTTTATGTTAACAAATGACTTTGTTAACGTCAAAAGTTTCTCATGTTGTGCCATGGAATTCTAATCAATTTAATTTATATAATTTGTATCATTAGTCCAAATAGAATTGTGAGTTATAAAAATGCATATTTCCTTTGTCTTGTTTTTTGCATTGATAAGTGTAGTTTGATTATTTCTATTTCAGCAGTTATTTAGAAAAATAAATTAAAATTACCAAACTATGATTCTTTGTTTGTAATAGATCCAAGCATCTCTTAACATATTTTCCAGGTTATTACTTATGAAAACTGGATTTTATAATCCTTGTTGTATCCTGGAATTATTTTTTATATATATATTTGACTCACTGCTTCTTGTTAAAATACAATTTAAGCACTTAATAAATTATGTTTTAAGCTTTTTTGCATGTACATAAACAACTGCTGCTTTTTTTTTTTTGCTAAAAAATTTTAATATAGACAGTTGAAAACAACAAAGGATTCAAAAATATTTAGGTATTCTCAATATTCTAAGCATAATTAGAATAAATTTACATAAACTCATAACACAAATTTAATTTTCACAAGAATTAAGTATAGTATTTATGCTAATTTTTTCCACTTATTCAATGGTTTTTTTTAAATCGGTGTTCTTCTTGAAGTAGAAAATCAACAGAACATTGTACTAAAGATACGTGTATATATATATATATATATATATATATATATATATGTGTGTGTGTGTGTGTGTGTGTAAATTAGAGACCCTTAAGTGTAGTTTAAAAAACTTGTTCTTGTTCTTAGGATGGTCATATGTTCCAAAGTCAGGAAATTGAAAAAAGAAAAGTTACATTTCTGGAACATGATGGTGAGCAAGTCACAAATTTAATTTTCTTTTTAAGTTTTTCTTGACAAAAAAATATAACTTTCACATGTTCTTTAAAGATTAACTTTTGTTTGACAAAATGAGTTTCAAAACTTGAATCCATATAAATGCCTTATATTCCATAACTTAACTTGATTTTATATTACACTCATGAATTACCATTATTTATAGTTTGAAGAAAGATGACCTTTTGGCCATGGAAGGACAAGATAAAATTGCACTTGTAACTCTACTATTTTCATACTTTTTGAGTCACTCAGTTTTATTTTGTTAGACTGATATGTGTTATTTTCAAAAAAGGTACAGATGGCCCGACATGGCCAAGTGGTTAGGCGCTTGACTCGCAATCTGAGGGCCACAGGTTTGAATCCTTGTCCCACCAAACATGCTCGCTCTTTCAGCCATGGGGGCATTGTAATGTGATGGTCAATCCCACTATTCATTGGTAAAAGAGTAGCCCAAGAGTTGGCGGTGGGTGGTGATTGTTACACTGCTAAATTAGGGACAGCTAGTGCAGATAGCCCTCATGTAGCTTTGTGCAAAATTTAAAACAAACAAACAAAAGGTAGAGTGATTGTGTGATTTTGAGTTTTTGTGCATGTCATGAGGTCTTATGGAGTTGCATTCTAAATTTAATTAAACAACTTTACTATCAATATATTTTAATGGAATTAGCATTATCATGTATGTTATAATTCAAAGTTTTATTTTATCTAAGTTTAGTTCCTTTATTTCAAAAGAAATCTTTAAAAAATACTTAAACTTCAGTTTTTTTGCCATGCAATGCAAAAGTGTTCACAGATCATAACATTTTGTTTCTGTTGAATAATAGCACGTGCACAGTTACAGGTAATGTCTAGAATGAATTCTATGCCTACAGTGCTATTTACCCATCCAAGTTTCAAGTTCATTTGGGTCAATTCAGAAAATGCAAGAAATATATTCTGACTCCCTTACATTAGCCAAGCCCACCTTCTATACTTAGACTTGAGAGTTGCATGCCACATGTATTTATTTGACATACATGTTTATAACCATTAGGAAAAAACAATTTACTACAATCTCTCAATGGTTATTTTAAAACTGCCATGCAGTATTAATTAACAAGTGCATCAAACCAGTCTACCATTGTTACAGTTTTGTCCTCACTAACACTTTATATTTTGTCTCACTGTGATATACATTTGATAAGCAGTTAAATTGTATTTAGGTTTTACTTTTATCTTCTAATGATGTATTCTTTATGTTTTAAACTTTGTGTTTGAAAGGTTTATTAATTTTTTAATGAAACCCAAACTTTGCATTCTTCTGTGAGCCTTACTTTACTAAGCAAGCACAAAAACATTTTACCAAAAGCTGAAATATCTGTGCTGATGATACCGTCTGTGGGCATCTGCTGATGTGTGTCGAGATGCATAATAAATAGGAAAGGAAAACATTAAAAATAAACCAAGGAAAAAAGGGTAAAGACGTGAAATTACCCACGTAGTCCAAAGACGATATTTTAAAATTGTTTGACGAAGAGTTAGGAGGTATGTACATATTTCTATTTTAAACGTTTTATTGCATTTCGTGTTGATGAGAATAGCTAGAGTTAGTGATATGGTAGAGAAATTTAAAAATAAAATAAAAACTTTTACATTAAAAAAACTACTATTGACATTCATTATGGAGATTCTAGAGGTTATGCAACTGAAATATGAAAACTGTAAGATACAAAATAGTATTTTTATACTTAGCGTGAAAATCCCCTTGCACTTGAACTATTCAGAGTCTAAGTCATATAACTACAATAAGTAAAGAATTTTTTTTATAGAAATAGAAGAAAATATCAAAGCTAAATTTTATTTTTCTAAAACTACATGCCTTTGGGAAAGTTCCTTCAAAGTTCAAACAGTTTCATCCAATAGTTTTTTTTCTGGAATGAAATATAATGAGAATTATGGTACATCCACATGATGTAAGGACCTTGGAATCAAAGGGTTAAATACTTATTAAAACTGACAGCTTGATGTGCTTTATACAGAACTATGTGAGAAATGAAAATGTTAACTAGAAGCTAACATTAAATGGTATTTAGATTGTTATTTTATACTCTTTGTGTTTTGTTAATAGTTATCAACGAGAAACTTGACGGTGAAGGGAAGTTAGGAAGACAGCTGGTTCCAGGATTGTTGCTGATGCCTGACACCACTGGTCTGACTGGTGATCAGCCCCCTGGGCAAGGGTATACTGGTATGTACATTTTTATTAGTGGATGGTTTACAGTGGGTTGCTTAACTGTATAGTAGTGAAAAAAGCTCTGTGTCATTGGATGTGACAAGATGTTTTATTAAATTTTATCTACATATTAATAGCATTTTTGTATTTTAGCAGTTAATAAATAGCACTTATGTTTTATTGGTTAGAATTTTAGCTCATAAATCTTTTTGTACAAGGATCTGCTGTGCTGATTGATGCCACATGCCAATCCAACATGGTTCGTAGTAGCTTAGAGAACCTATTGAGCATGTTACAACGTGATATTTTATGAGGCTATTAAAATGAATAGTACAGCTGTTATTTTCATTAGCTATAATAAGGTTTGGTTTTGTGTCTCAGACATGAGTTACCAACTTAGACTTGAGGGGTTATATAGTTGTTAGAAATCTGCCAGAATTTTCAAAAGATGTGAAATAAATAATAAAACAGCTTTATATATGAAACTGCCTGTCCTCAAACTTATTCATTGAAGTTTATCAGCTTTTTTTTTTTCATTCATTTTGTTTTAATCATACCCTTGTTATTAAATGTATATGTTGATAATTTTAAAGTACTCAGAAGAAAATTTAAAAATATAACTTAAAATGTGATATACGTTACACGTGACTGTGTAGCGTCTTTCCATATTCTGCATTTTGTTACTAAACTGTATTGCCTTCCTTTCCAAATAAAACATTTGATATTATGATTCACACATGCCTGTAACTTATATTATATATTCCAGCAGTCACACAACAGGCGAACCAACTTTAAACTTCACCTTACTTTTTTAACGCTAGAATCCGGGTTTTGATACCCGTGGTTGGCAGAGCACAGATAGCCCATTGTGTAGCTTTGTGCTTAATTACAAATAAACAAACCTTACTTTTTCAGCTCAGTTTGCTGAAGGCTGTATCAACACACACTAGGTTCTCAAGACCTCGATATAAGCCAGTCATATGGCTAAGACTACATGTTTGTCCATATTTTCTCAACTTGGCATGCATAATGTAGGCTTAAGCCAATCAGCATACCCAATTCAATCTCTCCATTGAAGTATGTCAATACCAATTACATTCATCAGTTGTTATTAGAAGTTTGTGTTGAAATAAAAGTTGACTATATATTGTATTGATAAACATAATTAGATTAATTGTCATCACTATTAGTGGATTATGAAAGGGTATTAATGATAATTGGAAAGGTGTTGTGTTGCCTTTTTCGGTACACGGATTGCTGTATTTCTGATTGGATTGTTTGTCATGATAGGTAATTGTTAATTTTGCTAGTTACATACCATAAAGTGGGACCTTTTAAATTGTCTTTACTCACTAATTTACAGATATAATTGCATTTTAAAGAAGCCTTCAAATCAAACTTGTATATATCTGCCCATATTGATATTTTCCATTCATTCAGAATGTCTAGCACATTGGTTAAGTCTAAAAACCTTCAGAATTCTGTCCAGAAATGAAAGGCCAAGGAAAAATTTGAGGACTAAACGTCAGAAAAGTTTCATGTAGTTTTGAATCAGAATGACTTCAGTTGGTATGTGCAAACTACTAAGGGATTTTTGTAGTACTCAATTTTTAAAAATGCAGAAAAAAGTAATGCCCATGGGCATGAAAATCCTGCTAAGGCTTGAAATCATGACTGCCATTCAAAATGTAGGTTTTAAAAGAAAGGAAAATGCAGTGAATTTATAACACGGTTTAATGTTATTTTGAATGAAGATAACTTATTTTCTTGATTGCAAAATATAATTAAATAAATAAATTTTTTTTTAATTCTGAAGATAAAAGTTTTTAAATTAGAAAAAATACAATTATCATCATTATTTATTGCTTCAACTTGCATGTGTGTGTGTGTGTATGTGTAATGGAAAAAATCAATAATAAATAAACAACATTTCCTTTATTAAATGGTGTTTTCATGTTGTGAATGTTTTTAATACAGAAAAGTGGAGGGATAAGTGACTTGTCCCTGTTTTGGTGGTATTAAATGTAACTTTAGTTTGGTGTAGGCTTCACCTGTTTTTTACTGACCTTCTCACCCAGTTGCTTCATCATTTGCAGCATTAAGGCAGTAGGATTGAAATGGCTACTAAAGTCAAACCATTTGTTTGATTGCTTATCTGATTTGGTTTTTATGGATACACGTGAATTCCCCAACAAAATTTAATTTATATTGTACAACCTGTTCCCCATGACAACTTGTGACTATAGACAGCTGTACAATTCTATATATAAATCTGAGAATTGGGAATCTGAGGCAAAAGGAACCACTAAAATGTTTTAGTTGGAAAACACGTATGACTGTATTTTTTATTAAAAACAAAGTTGTATAAATCAAGATAGACATGACACCAGTGCCTGTAGGGTTATAGATTCAAGTGTGCAACTCAACTTTGCTATGACAGACGTGACATTGGTGCCTGCTGTGTAATATTTAATTCAACTTTGCTGTGATAGACATGACTTTGGTGCCTGCTGTGTAATGTTTAATTCAACTTTGTATGTTATGACTTTAATGCTATTTGTCTGTCTTGATGATATTATTATGGTTGTTCCATTAGCAAGCTTCCCTGTGGATTTGAGGGTTCTGTGGTTCATGTCCAGTAACCACAAAAGAATTGGGAGTTGGTGGTGTTGATTAGCTGTATTCCATCTGGTCTGTCACATCAAAATCAGGGATGGCTAGCACAGATAGTCTCTGGAATTCAACAAAGAATCCTTATTATCTGGTTAATTTTTTTCTTTCCAGTAGTTCTGACTAAAAATGTGAGTTTACAAATAAACTGACTGAAGCATATCTGTATGCCAACAGATTTCACTATACGGCAAGGTGTTGCTTAAAGTGACAGTTATCACCTCAAGGTGAAATAAGATATCTAACATTGTGGGCATCCATGTTCTTTAGTTGTTTCAATCATTTTGTAGTGAATGTAGAAGACACAAGTAACTAACCAGTCTTCAGAAAGATATGTTCATGTTTAGGAATCGGAAGAAACGTAGCTAACTTCTGTACAATGATATCGTGGTTTTTTTGTGCGTATCATATTCTGAAATGCTTCAAAATGTAAGTAAAACAGCTACAAGTAATTTTGTCTCTTTTTTTATTAAATCAGCTACACTTAAACATTAGATCTTGTACTTGGGATTGATGGTTAACCAAATATAGTCAGGTAAAAACTGCTTTTTCCATTGATGGTTAACCAAATATAGTCAGTTAAAAACTGCTTTTTCCATTGATGGTTAACCAAATATAGTCAGTTAAAACTGCTTTTTCCATTGATGGTTAACCAAATGTAGTCAGTTAAAAACTGCTTTTTCCATTGAAGGTTAACCAAATATATTCAGTTAAAACTGCTTTTTCCATTGATGGTTAACCAAATG